TATTTTAAACGAAAAGACCTTAACAATAGCGAACATGAAGTTTCTCTAACAATTATGCACTATGAAGTATTATTTCTGTGACTAAATTTAGCGTATAGCTGATTCATTATATTGATAGTTTAGAATAAATCTACCTATCTTAAACTTTTATTAGAGAGCTGCTGTCTTACTATCTTAAAGGCTAGCTATTTTCTAATATTTATTGAAAGAGATTTACCTTATTTTTCTAAACAAGATTGTTTATGATTGACATCTTAGGAATAAAATCTTTTACAACAAATGAGATTCAGCAAGTGCAGAAGTTGACAGCAATTTTACTACATGTTGCTAGTCAGTTGATTATGGTTTTCTTCCAGGAAAATGGTATCATGCTTCTTAATTCCACAAGGTTTATCAAAAACCAATGTCAATTTGAAACTGCATGATTAAGAGACAATGTTCTAATATCAACTGGCGGTATTTTAATATTATGCTTAGTCATGGAATTTACTTGGAATTAGAATGGCTGATAAATGCTGAAGTTGGCATAGTTGAAACTTTAAGTATAACTTATTTGGGGTTGTGTTTTTCAGGTGAATCTCTGAAAGTATCAGCTGAGAGATTTACAGATGATCCCTGTTATCTCCCGAAAAGGGAGGCTGTGGTTCAAGCTGCCCGTGCCTTGTTGGCTGCGGTTACCAGACTCCTTATCCTTGCGGACATGATTGATGTCATGTGTCTCTTGCAGCACGTGTCAGCTGTAAGTAAAAGATGGCTAAGTTTACCTTGGCATTGTTTTCACTTCTGATTCCATTCTCTGAACCTAGCATCAATACTGGTGAATCCTGGCCTCACCCTCATTTCTAAATATTGCCCAGCAGAAGCTGACTAGATTGGGTTGTGAAGACTAACGTATACCTCAAAAGAAAGAAACCAGAGTTAGTCCTAAAGCCAATGGGAAATTGAACAGAAGATGGCTTACTGATAAAGAAATGGCTAGAAGAAAGTTCTAGACTTTTGACCATTTAAATAATTATAGGGCATAATTATTGAATTTTATTTTGTTAATTCTGGCTTTTTGTTACAGTCCATCAAGATCTTTTTGACTCTTAATTTTGTCTTCCCTTTCTAACCTGATGTCATTTTCAAATTTATTCATGAAAAAATGTTTAATGACATGGAATAATATACTACATATCTTTTTCCTTTTAGATAATAGCAGTCAAATATTAACACACATTGAGTAAAGTTGTTGAAATGAGCTTCAAGCTTGCTTCATTGGGCTGCTGTATAAACCATGCTTCTTCATTTCATCCTCTAGCACTTTTTCAAAGACCTTCCTGAAATCAAGATATATTGCCTGTGGCATCATGGATTTATCAGTCTAGTAATCCCAGTTATAAAGGAAATGAAGTTAGTTTGGCATGACTTACTCTTAATAATCCGATAAGAGCTCTAAGTGACCATTGCTTGCTTGCTTTTATTCCTTATCTTTTTGTTTTCATTTTTCAATGACCTTAATTTTTCAATAACTCATAATCCACTTACATATGGTCTAAAACCACTTGTTTTCTGGAATCTCCTTGCACTTAAGATTTTGATATAATTGGTTCAAACTGTCATTCCATGTCTTGTCAAGTATAATATTCTCCCGAAGACTTCTGCAAATTCTCTGGTTGCTCATATTCTCAGGATCACTTCTGGCTCCAAGCTTTTGCTTCCACTGAAATACTTGCACTTATGAATTGTCTTTCTATCTGTAGTCAATATTATGTCTACCCAGAATTGGTGGTTGGCTTTTTCCCTTGATTTGTACACACAGACACGTATACTCGCCAACCCTACCAGATAAGGCATATCTATGAATATGGCAAATCTTACAGAAACTTAGAAAGATGGAAGGAAGGGATTTCTAGATTGCAACAATATATTCTAAATAGCTTCAATTTATATGTCAGAAATCTTCAGAACCTGTTAGCAGCTTTATCTTATTGCTCTTCCACCTTATTTCTCCCTATCTATTTTCCCTCACAGTTCTAAATTCCTGTTCATTTGAATGCAGTGAAGAGTTGCTATCTCTCCACTGGCTTCTGCTAATTTGTGTCCTCAGGATATTACTCCTTAAGGTATTTTCCTCTGTATAGACAGTGCCCCGCCTAGGAAGAATTCTGTAGTCTTCTACTACCCCGCCCCCCAAATACCTACACACTCTACTCTATAATGATCTATTCATATTATAGATTTCTTTGGGAGGAGGTGGGCATCCACTTTAAAGATATGTATTTCCTTCTGGGAACACATACTTTTTTCCCAAAATAGTGGGCTACCTTCTTATTTCTTGCCCTTCTTTGCTATTTTGTGGGCTACCTGGGCTTTTTTTCCCCTGACACTCTAGTACAAGTCTATGCTACATTTTTTTTTTTGTTTGTTCTTTATTTCACAGCATCAAAGAATTCCTCTGGTCTCATGATGTTTTCTTTAGTGGCCTTACTCTTTTCTTCCTTCTTATGACTTTTTCTAAATAATAGTTTTCAACCCTATTGAAATATATTTCATTTTGGATGTCAGGTAAATGAGATGTTACTTTACTTTTGATTAATAGTTTGTACCTATATATTTCCTGATTTCTTTATGCTTTCTTATCTCTATTACATTATCTTCTTTCCACTGAGAGCACCCTCAGAGATGCAATTTCAATCAAACATTTATGAGGACATAGACTGAGACAACCAACGAGTGTAAACATGGGTCACTGAGCATCTCTCAATAGGACAAGTACTGCCAAATTAAATAACCAAAGATTCCTGACTTAGCAGTTTTAGAGGTATCTAGTTCCTTAAGGAAATACATGTTTTCTTTTGGGAAGAAATAGGTTAAAATGAAAGATAACAGGGGACAGAGAAAAAAATGATGATATTTCAATATTTCATTAATTATAGAAACTTGGCAATTTGGCTCTACTGTCATCATTGTTAATAATTTTTTATAGGAATTTAAATTAAGAATTTTCTCTCTTTGATACTATTCAAGTTTTTCAAACTTCTCTGTACTATTTATATTTCTTAGGATTTCACATCCTGTTTTATTGGCATTTGGATTTTATAAGGGTCAATTCTGGGGGGAAGAAAATAGGCGTGGATGGCTCCTGCTTTCTTTAGGGGTCAGGACAATGTGGGGAGAAAACATGGCTTTTGGCAGCATGGAGACCTTGCTTGAATCCTGACTCTGTTGCTGATTAGCTGGGTAACTTTGGGAAAGTTAAAATATTGTGAGCTTTGGTTTCTTGTTCAGAGTTATAGGGAGAATAAAACTTACTTTGAATACTTTGAAAGGGTCTTGTGAAGATTAAATAATATACTACATAAATTACTTGGCAAGAACTGGTATAAATTCTCTTTCACCTTCCTTCCCCTGTTCCACTTTTTTCCCACCATGGTATCTCACTCCCACTTTTTGGCTCTTGGAGTGCAATGTTGTACTTATTTCTAAAAATCAAGAGAAATAAATTTGACTACTAAGTTGAACTAACTTTTCAAACTTTGTCCATTTATCATACCATAGCCAAGTTTGGTTAGGGAGTGTAGATCCCCTTTGGATCAGGTAATAGACCTATCTTATACCAAATGGGTCCAGAATTTAATAACTTATATTAAATACACATTTAACATTTGTGACATAAATTGTTATAAAACATTTGTATGCCAAACAATGATTCTCAATATAACAATTATTTATTATATTGGCAAAAAATCACACATTATCATGTTGGTAACAGACTTTATGAGGCCATCCTCTATTTATTAAAAGGCAGAAATGTGCCAACAAAAAGGTTTTCTAAAGCTTTTTGTTATTAAAAATATCAGCAGTTTATAAAGGGAGAAATTAAGAGCCATTAGAAGTCATGTATATTTTGCAGAAGATTTTAGGCAAAGTATGTAAAGCTATATGAAAATTTAAAGAAAAGAAACAAGTCAAGACTGATATTTAAAATGACAATAGGAGGCCGGGCATGATGCTATGTGCCTGTAGTCCCAGATACTCCAGAGGCTGAGGTGGGAGAATTTGAGCCCAGGAGTTCAAGGTTATAGTGAGCACCATTGTCTTAGCAATTTTTATATGTGTAATATATTGTTATTAACTGCAGTCACCATGACATATATTAGATCTCTTGAACTTATTCCTCCTGTTTAATTGAAATTTTATGTCCTTTGACCACACAAATTTAAACTATGTATTTTTTTTTTTTTTTTTGAGACAGAGTCTCACTCTCTTGCCTGGGGGGAGTGCCGTGGCGTCAGCCTAGCTCACAGCAACCTCAAACTCCTGGGCTCAAGCAATCCTACTGTCTCAGCCTCCCGAGTAGCTGGGACCACAGGCACACACCACCATGCCCGGCTAATTTTTTCTACATATATTTTTAGCTGTCCAATTAATTTCTTTCCATTTTTTGGTAGAGACGGGGTCTCGCTCTTGCTCAGGCTGGTCTCGAACTCCTGAGCTCAGAACGATCCGCCCGCCTCTGCCTCCCAGAGTATTTTTTTTTTTTTAAAGAAAGGGTCAACATCATTCCAGTTAGCCCTGATTTGGTTAATTCATCTACTCAGCAAACGGTTATTTTTTGTGTCCGTACTGTGTAGTAGTCACTGTGCTATGTGCTAGGGATTCAAATTCAGAAAAAATACCATGATTGTCCCGCTTTCCTAGAATTTACAGACTAGATAAAAGTAAATTAACAATATAAATTATTATGATAGAAGTTGGTTCAAGGTGTTATGGAGGCATGGTGGAAATTGTATGAAAGGAGGGCATGTTGAATGAGTAACACATGGCTAACTTTGGAGAGTTAACTAGACAAAGAAGGTGGTGGAGCAGAGGGCATTTTAAATTGAGGGAATGCTATGTGCTCAAAGACTTGTAATTGTTCTGAGTGGCTGAGATGATTATGTGGCAGGAACAGGAGTTGAAGCTGGGGAGGCAGACATAGACCAACTTATGAAAGTTCTATGAGCTAGGTTAAAGAGTTTGAACTATAGTCTGCAAGCTATAGGGGAATCATTAAAGAATTTTAAATAGGGAAATTATATAAGCAGATTTGCATTTTAGGACTATTACTCTGACAGCAGTAGGCAGGGGACCAGAGCGGAGGCACAGAGGCCAGTGAGGAGGCTCATGCAGTCATCTGGTTGTGAAATGATGGAGTGGAGTGGAGAGTGGATGAGAGAAAGGAAGGAAAAACAGTTTTCAGTTGGAAAGTGACTTGAGTCCTTTCAGAGGGAGAGAGAAGCATCAAGGAAACTTCTAGGATTCTGGTGAGGTATTGACATTGGTTTGCTATTTACATAAAGGAGAAGCAGTTTGTGAGTTTTAGATATATTGGATTTGAGGCACATAGAGACAGTAGATAATAAAAGATATGTTGATAGCTAAGGAGAACAAATAAGACAAGAGCTAGATTTGGAAAGCCTCTGGAAATAAGCATTAGGAGATGCAATATGTTTGCATGAGGTCACCTAGGGAAGGTTTATAGTGTGAACTCACATCTTTGAGGCCTTGTGGTTTAGTGGAAACCTCACTGTTTAAAGAATGAATAGGTTTGTGTTCAGGTTTGTCTCAGAAGAAATGAATTGGACAATGTTTACTTATGCAATTTTATGGTGCCTATGCTTTCTCATTAATAAAATGCTTATGAGAAGACCTTCTTTAAAACACCTTTAGTTAAGTGCAATTTATATACCATAAATTAACTCATTTTAAGTTTACAAGTTGATGATTTTGAGTAAATTTGAATAGTTGTACAATGATAACCATAATCCAATTTTAGAACATTTCCATCACTCTTCCCTATTGGACCTAGTTCCCATTTGCTGTCATTCTCCATTCCCATACCTCCCAGACTTGCTGATGGGAATAACACTGGGAAATCATTTTTAACAGTTAAAATCTTTAAGTAAATATATGTTTATGTTTCTCATATTGTCTAGCTCAGTGCTCTGCACAAAGATGCTGCTCAATAAACAGTTATTACATTACTGTTTTGTTTAGTTCTCATTCACTACTGAAAAGTGTCATGAGTTTAATGACAATGGTATCTTCAATTTTATGGAATTTCAAATTTATAAAGCAGTCTTCTGTGAAGCTAGATTATAAACTCTACTAGAGTAAGAGCTGTTTCTCTCTTGTTTTTCCTTGTTTCTTGCATATTGCTCATTGTTAAATATTTATTGAATGAATGCCTTTCATTTTTCCTCAACTGATTTCACAACAACATTATAAAACAGGCAGGTAAAGATAATTTGTCTCATGTTATAGATAACACAATTAAGAATTGGAGTAGTGACTTGTTCAAAGTTGTATAGTTACTAAATGGCATAGCAAGGACTTGAATCCCAGACTTCAAGACCAATGTGCCTTCAACTATTAATATGTAGAACTATTTCTAATTTAGATCTTGAGTCCAATTTTGTCTACATTCTTAACTTTTGTGATCATTACTTACGGTAAAAACACATTTGAGATATGTATGTGTGCTTTAATTTTCTGCTTCAGTTGTAAACTTCCTTTTAATGAGTGATATCATCTTGTAAGTTCATTTGGAAAATGTGTATGAATGTCAAAGATTAAGTTTAGAAAAATTAAATAACTTTTTTCTCTGTAATTCTTCATGTTTGATTGTCTATGGTTGCCATATTTCAGTAAGGTAGATTAGCCATTTCTTATGCTTAAAACAATTTCTTTTTACACTAAACATTCATATTTATAGAGCATTTATATATTATTCTTTTGACTATTTCTTCCTTCTGCTTTAGTCTCCAGAATCTTTTGGCATTGTTTCAAACTGGCATTTTAGGGACACTAAGATCACACTTGGTGATCTAGTGCTTTTAATAAGGCACTTACTGGATACTCTTTTGTACGCATAATGCTGTGAGTATAGGATTTCTTTTTATGGTACAGATAGCAACCAGCACCTTGTACAAATACACGAAATATTAAATATGGAAAAATGATGGCTGTTGAGCTGGCTTTTGTTTTGGGGCAATGATACTTGATATTTTTAAATTACGGGTATTAGTAGGCTGCTGGAGCTCTGAAATTACTTGAATAAATCGATCTGGTTATAAAAGGAAGCCAGGGCACTGGCAGTGAAGACTAGGAAAGCTTTACTTGCCAGAGCCCTGGCTGCATTTTTCCTGCTGTTTCAGCCTATTTCTCCTTGTCTTCCTTCTCAAATTACTCCATAAATATATTTATAATTTTCACAAACTCATGGATGTGTAGTTTGTATAGAACATTGGCTTAGATTTATTTAAATATGTATTGTCAGGAAAAAGGAGGAAAAATATATTTGGGAAAAGGGAATGCTGAGTTAAACTAGACATTTTGCTCTTGCCTTTTTTTTCTGCTTCCCTTTCTTGCAAAACAAATATTCAGTTATATTAATGGGAAATGAGCAATTATGGTCTTTGTTGTTTTATTTGCAGATTACTATTATTATTCTTTCTGAACAGAAAGAATTTGATGAGAAAACGTACTCTGGGAGTTTTGGGCTTAGGGATGTTGTTTGCATCTTTCCATTCTTATCTTGTTTGCCCTGTGATATATGGTAAGATAGTCAAATAGGACAGATTTAGATTTGTTTTTCAGTTCAGAGACCATTTTAATACTCAGTTTCAACAGTTTTAAAACATAACTAGGTTTGGTTTTTGGTTCAGATTGAGTCACTAAGTTTTTTGGTTTTTTTTAAAGTCTGAATTTGGTTTATAATGAGTTACAACATTAAAACAGGATAAATTCAAGGTTCAAGAAATTATTCTGGAGTTTTTGGCTCATTTTAATTCCCACTTAAAACTTTAAACAGGTAAAATCCAGGAATATTAAAGCCTCTTCAATTAATTGTGCTTCCTTTCCCAACTTATCTCCAACTGGGAGATTATTTATTTTGAGAAATAATCAATATAAGGAAATTACAGTGCACTGAACTAATGTAGAAAATCTCAGAGGTCTGTTTCAATGATCAAGTACAGTGGCCTATTAGAAAGAAAAATCTTCAAACCATGTCAACAGTCTTTAAAATCTAGGCCTTAGCTTAACCAGTCTTATTTTTTATCTTCTGTACCTCAGCTTTAATGCAAAGTTAAATTACTGCTTTTACTCTTCAGCATCTTGAAGTATATATGTGGGCAGATGGGAGTGGGGTGTGTTTAATGGGGATCTCAGCCAAAGTTACACCACAGATTTTGTATGGCCTCTCTTTGACAATTTTTTGTTGTTGTAAGTGGAAAAAACCTACTTAAATGAATGAAATCATCATAGTTTTAGAGTATTTTAAGCTCTTTAGTATCAATAAATGGAGGATATAAGTCTTGATAATCAAAGTTCAAGCAAATCTCCACATTATGCAAACCCTGACCTTTAGTTACAACATCCTTGGGATGATGTAGCATTACTGGATTTTCTCTCTTCCTTCTTTGGCTACGGACATATTACCTGGAAGTATTGATTTTTTTTTTGTTTCTTACTTTGAAGTCTTACAGGCGTCTATCCCCTACAGTTCCTGTTTGGAGTTGTATGAAGTTCACTGAGATTAATGTGAAGAAGAAATAATTAAGCAGAGCTAATATTTTTTAGAGAAGAGAATATGCAGGGGGTAAAGAATGCTTTAGAATTAAATGTATTGGTTGGTAAATATAAAAATATTAACCAATTTATAGATAAAATTACTTAAAATTACTCTTGGACAGGGTATTATTTTGATTTGAACATAGTGAAAAGGAACTGAAATGGGCAAGGCACAGAAATGATCATACAACATGATAAATATTTAATATAAAGGTCATTACAATTATGTTCAAAGGAACTTGTTTATTATGTTACAAGGGAAGAAATATGAGCATATTTTGGCTATGTTTAAACTGATGGGTAGAATTGGTTTCCATTTAAGATTCTGAAAAGACTTCCTGGCCTTTGAGGTCCAACTCAAAGTCTCCTATGTCTTCTATGTGGTCTGAGTCCCTCAGTCAGTAACACTTTTTTGAGTTTTCACTGCATGTTACTTTTATCTCTTTTTTACACTCTCTTGACTACTTTGCCTTGTGTTAGAGTTAACAGTAGAATAAAAAGAGCACAAGTGTTGTAGTAAAAACCCAGTTCAATCAAACTTTCTGAGTCCCAGTTTACTGACTTGTAGAATGGGAAGAGAAATAGGGACTCCTGTGTTCTTGTGAGGATTAAATTGGAAAGCATATAGTACCTGGGGGCTGAGCAGGCACTCAATAAATGTCAATGTCCTTCCCATTTCTGAGTTTCATGTCTGGTTTCCTCAGTAATCTGTAGATTCCTTTAGGGCAAGAAATATCTTTTATCTTCATAATGCCTTGTTCATAGTAGGTTCTAAATGATTATTTGTTGAATCTAATTTACCATCCTGCCATGGAAGTTTAATACTCTTATTTCCCATTTCTTTTTCCTCTTGTCACCTTGGATTGAGATAAACATGTTGCTTTCATGAAATTGAAGATTTAATTCAGTAGAATGCCATTCTAATATGACTTATTCCATAGAGTTTGATATAGTAAGGGTCAAATCATTTCCCCAGAAACTTAATTATATTCTATAAAATCTTATTATCCTGTCTCATGGCATCATAGTCACAGCAGAGTTCTGGTGTGTTTAAGATGGTGAGGTCTCTAACTGTAGAAATCTAATGGCACAGAGTGAGAATATGGTTAATAAATGACATAAAGGGAGAGCAAATGCAAATGTCTTGCAAATTACATTACTTGACATTTTCAATCACTAACCCTCCAAAGTATGTTCTAATTTACTAAAATAAACCAAGAATCCAATTTCTTATGAGCTCCCTTTGCTTAATTATTAGTAGCAGACAGGATTCTGTGATCCACTGTAATTTGTCACCTTTGTATTTATCTGGAATCTGACTTAAAAATGAACGGGAGCATTCTGATTCAGCAGAACTGATTTAATAACTCACCTGTGCTATAGAGCAGAAATGAATAAATGTTTGCTGAATATACCACATATGCTTTAATCATTAAAATGTTCAGTTTCCCTTCCTTCTCAAAGTATAAGTTCTGAGAGATCTTCCTTGTTGAAGTTTGTTGGGTGACCTATTCTGCATAGATATTTTTACAGAGGCAAGCCAGGTCCCATGCCATTATAGTAAAATATCATGCAAGCAGCTACTTTTTCATAAATTTGTTTGTTTCCATGATTGGAATGTGAGAGCTCTTTTAACGCTTCCTCATTATGATTCAAAATCACACATTCATTATAACTTTTTTCTTTAAAAGCAGCAGTGTTTCCTAAAACATGAAGTTTTTTTTTTTTTTGATGAAGTATACTCTTTTATTAGAATGAGGACTAAACAGGTATCTCATTCATGCAATAACGTTCATTGTACTTAGGATACAGTTTCTAACTATTTATAATTGCCCCTAATTATTTCATTGAAAGATAATTAGCTAGCATTTGTTATCACTGTATTATGCATGGGAGAAACCGAGGCTCATTATGGACTATTTCTGTGTTAGGTAGCTGGGAATTTGAGAAAAATACGCTGCTATCCTAATGATCTGCTTTTGCTTTCAATTTCAGTTTCAAAGGACATTTGAGTCCCTTAAAAATGTTTCCAACAAATCTGACCTCCAGAAAACCTACCAGAAGCTTGGGAAAGAGCTGGAAAATTTGGATTGTTTAGCCTTCAAACGTCAGCAGGTAGGAGCCAGAGCTCTCATTGGCAGAGGAAATGAACTAAAACTTTAGGCTTCCCACCATCCTGCCTGTCAGAGGTGCAGGTGGGTCTGAGGAGACTTATCATCTAATGGTTAGGGCAGTGATAAGCTGTGCTGCACTGATCTGCTGTGTTGATACGGCTTCCTGCAGTGTTCAATGTGGTCTTTGCTTTTAGATGTGTACTTTAGGGGTTTCCACATATGTCCTTATACCTCCCTGAAAGAAAACTGCTGGTTTGTGAAGGTCCAACTACCCTTTGACCAAGGACACCTCAGTGGCATAAAGGAAACCTCTATACTGGCTTGGCCAAATGGCTTTTGTATTTGACAGGGGGATACCCGAGGAGAAAAATCACCTGAAGACAAGTAAAAGGTTGTGGGTGTACATAAAACGTTAAGGAAAAGAATCATAAATATGCCAAAATATGAATTGACCTTTAATTTTCTTTGATTTTTGAAGATGAGTAAAAATTTGCTTAATGTGGAAGGTTGAAGGAAAATATACTTTACAAATACAAGTGCTTTTTTTTGCCTCCTTGTGTAGGCCCCAAAACAAATATACAGCCAAAGTAAACTTTTGTACGGTTTCTTTTAGAATTGGTACTTTACAACTTAATAAACATAATGATTAAATATTCTGTGTTTTGAGAACTGCCAAAGTCGCTAACTACTCTTCCTACGCTGGATCTTCTCCAGTTTCTTCATAGCCACTAGGTGTCAGGGTTGTCAAGATTTTACTTCCATCGAATGTTTATTCTGATCAGAACAGCCAGTTTAGACGTTTAAATTAGGTTGCATGAAATTCGGGAATGTGCTCAATGATGGATAGCGCCTAGAAAAATGACTAAATGGCTGATTTGCATGGCCAGGCATCGAGTCCATCACTTCAGAGTCCTTCCTGTCAGTGTGGCGAAGTGTGTGACATTCTTGCCATTACCTAATTCTCAAGGTTTGGATCTTTTGGATGGGAGTTTTCAAAGCAAGACCTCCTATGTTTGGTTAAACCTCATTAAGTCAACTTGATATGGTGTAGAAATATTAGGTGAATAAGAGATTTGTGTTCTAGATCTTGCTCTATCACAAATGTTACATGGACTTTTAACTTTTCTATGACCCTATTTTCCTGGGAGTTATATTTGGTTTATGGAATGTTAGAAGGCAAATGAATTATTTTTGCACATACATTAATTTATATGAAAAAGGGCACAATTCATTTAAGTTTTATTTTTTTTAAATTAGTGATGGTCTAGGAGGTATTAGCACATGTGATAGAAGCAGTCATAGTTACTGAGAGATACTACAGTAAGCTCCCAGATAACGCTGCTTAAAATTCACACTGTGAGTCACTGCTCTGGCCTATGCAATTTTTAGTACAGTTTTGTTTCCAAGACCATATTTTACCACTGAGGGGTATTTGAGCTGGCAGGCAGTAGTCACTGTCTTATTCTCTTATCCTTTCCCATTAGCACGTTTTCAGTGATTAGATTCTTACATTAGCTAATTGTAAATTTGGAAGAAGGTGAATGCTTCAAGGGCAGAAAGGTAGGACCCTAGGAGAATGGCATTGAGGAAAGATGGGTAAATTGCATGTGTGTCAGGAAAAGATAAGCACGTGGAGTATGTATATATCCATGTACATATGAAAATCATATATGCTATTTATTAAATGACAACTGCATACCATGCAGTATGATTAAGTCATTGAATACTTATAATAACACAATGGGGTAGGTTTTATTAGCACTACTTTACAGAAGAGAAAACTGTTAATAGAGTAAAGTAACTTGCCTAAAGTCATTGCACTATTAAGGCATGAAGCTGTGCTTCAAATCTAAATCAGCCTGACTCCAAACCTGAAGTGTTATGTTTTCTTGATGGGCAGGGTTCAAAGGGTCAGAACATTAGCTCTTCTCTTACTTGGTGGGACTTGTCTTTTATTTCCCATCCTATTCCTTTAAAGCTCCAAAAACCTATTAAGCACACACTAGAGAATGTTTTTCTCCTAATGGAAAAGATTCAGATTTCTGTAAAATTGCTAATTCAGCAAGAAAGCTTCCTCGTTATAAGGCAGTATTCTTTGTACCAGAGAATTACTCATGGTTTTTTCCCTGGTCTAACCATATTTATCATTCCTCATTGCGACAGAACATAAGCTCTGTAAGGACAGGGCCTTGTCTGTTGCCTTTAATGCATATCCTCTCCAGTGCTCACAACAGTATCTCACCCATGGCAAATGCTCAATAAATATTATTGGTGGCATTGTTGCTATGAATAAAGAAACATGCCAAAAGTTTGGGCCTCAAATTATAGGCAATTATAATCAATGTGTTTTGCTACACTTTTATAATGCAAAAGGGCATTAGCCCTTAGCTTCCTGGACAGATTGTCCCTTGCCCTACATATTATTTAAGTTTTCTCCTAACATATTTCATTCTTCTATTCATTTCTTTAAACAAACAGAAAATGCCCATGTTACCTTAGCTTTGAATTATGGATGTCCAATGAATCGACTATAATTATTTTCTTGGACTCATTCATTACATTTTATTTTCTGTCCCTTTCTGTGATATTTTTAACATCATTTCTGAGAGATTTATTTCCCAGTACCAGATAGCCTCTCAGAGTATGTGGTTTCTTTCCTACGTGTGAATTTAGCTTTTTTTTTCCTTCTTAAAGAGTGAGTGCTTGTACTTCAGCTATTCCTTGGGTCAGGGCACAAGCATCTCTACATTTTTTTACTTTCAAAAAGACTAATGTTGCAAATAGCTTTGGTTGGAAAAGGTGAGAGAGGAGGCTGTGATAGATGGGGTGATGAGTTTACTAGAATGAGTCAGCCTGAAGTAAAAGGATGACAAAAGAGGATTAACCTGAGAATCTGGAGACTCTTTCAGTTCTCACTATCTGCAGATGCAATCTTGGAGTTTATCTGCTTGGACTGCTTGGTTTTTATACTCCTTGTTGGTGTGACATAGGAATGGTAACAGCAAGCTCTAGCTATTGTATAGATCCCAGATTTATGTATTAATTCAAGAGATTATAAATCAAGATATTTCCTTGGGGCTTTGGCTTTGTGAAGTAAAATAAATTAAGATTTGATAATATGGACTCTAATTTAATTCCTTCCTCTCTTCTTTTACCCATAATATATATAATAACATTATAAAACACATTTCCTTTCCAGAGGCTTCTGAGGTCCTTTGATATAAATTTATGACTTCAACATTATATAAACTAAAGCATATTTACATGTTGATATGAAATATATAAAATTAAAACATTGCACTTCAGGTATACATCCACTTTGGAACACATCACATACCCCGATCCTTGTCTTCCTGATCATGGCATGATATTCTTGCCTTCTGACCTTTGCATAAGGTTTATATAACTTGGTATTTAGAATATATAGCTCCTTTCTGTTTACATACTTATTTAAGTACTTATTCCCATTCTTTAAAGTGAAAGTAAAGTCTAGCCTCCCTCATGACACCGCTTCCTATGACCTCTAGTCAATATGTAAACTCTTCACTCTTTGCCATTCTTAACTTTTATGTGTCATATGATTTAGTATATGATTAATTATATACTTATTGAGAATCCATGTAGTGCTGTGGTCAGAGTGTGGAATTTGTAGTAGTTAGTCCAACCTAGTTAACTATTTGTACTGCCTTGGGCACTGAGTTTCTTCTTTTAAAACATTAGAAAAATAACACCTAACTTACTGCCTATTTTGAGAAAACAATATATAAAGTAAGTCCTTTAAGGTATATATAAAAAATTTAGCACAGCACCTGGCATGGATTTAGTATTAAGTGGTAGCTATTAATGTTGTTTTGTGTTGTTCTCATAAGCCATTTTCCTAAATGGTTTATAAGTTCCATAAGGATATGGATATGTTCTCTGTTTTATATAGTTTTGTGCTGCCCATAGTGTCTAGCATTGTTCTGAACATAGGGGATGGGGTATTTTTGGACATACATACTCTGGCGGTTGGTGATCTGTGTCACAGAAAGAATATGTTGGTAACTCTCAAGAAGGGAGTTGCAACATTTGGTTCTAATGTTTTTAAGGTGGTGTCTCTTGATGGACAATGAAATTAAGGTCCTGAGTACTTCTGCCTGGGGTCCTTAACATGGGCTGTTTCCTTTATTTCATGCATGTGGATAGCTTTTTCATTTTTTTTCAGATTTTGTTCAAATAATATTTTAACATTGAGGCCTTCACTGACTACTTACTTAAAAAAGCAATCCATCCCTTTCCAACATTATCCATCCTTTCCCCTACTTAATTTTTCTCTATAGCACTATTGTCCATCTAACTTATGAGCCAATTAACTGGAGTCTGTGTGTTATATTTTAATACCAGATATAATAATATTACATATTCTAATCTATAAGGACAGCCTGTATAGAATATAAAAGGACAGGCTCTTTTTGCCATGTTTATATTCAGAGGAAGTATGTCTCCTTAATTTAAAATGACTCATTGGTCCAGGGAGAATGAAGTGGAAAGAGGTATCTCTTCCTCAGCAATGCTGTAGTCATCTTGTTGCACTTGAATAATAGTAATAAAAACAATTCTCATTCTCATTTAGTCATTTGGTTGCATACTTGACAAATAGTAATTAGAATTCAGAAAATGTAGTTCTAGGCGTCAATAATACATGTTGACATTTTCAAAAGTAAGTTTTAGATAGTTGTTTGACCATTTACATTTTTTAAATATAACATTGGAGCCAATCATCAGTGATACTAAACTACTATATTTGAGAATCCCATGTGAGCTGGAGGATTTTTGTTCAAGTGCTTTAAATATATTATCTCATTTAATCATCTAACCTACTCTTCAGTTTAGATATTATTAGCTTGATTTCCAAGATGAGAAAACTGAGGCTCAGAAGGCTAGGAATTTTTTTTTATGATACTTCTACAAAAAAATAAAAAAATTAGCCAGGTGTAGTGGCACACACCTATACTTCTAGCT